AGGAGCATCCACGTTGCTGCAAATGACGTTATGTTGTCGGTTTTTATGGCTGAGTAGTATTCCATTGTATAAATATACCACATCTTCTTTATCCAGTCACCTGTTGATGGACATTTAGGCTGTTTCCATGTTTTGGCTATTGTAAATAGTGCTGCTATGAACATTGGGGGGCAGGTGTCATCCTGAAGTAGATTTCCTTACCAGGAGTGGGATTCCTGGGTCATACGGTAAGTCTGTTCCTAGTCTTTTGAGGAATCTCCACACTGTTTTCCATAGTGGCTGTAAAAAAACATTGAGGAGATGAATATTTCCTTAATTAATGCCTTCCATTTTCTTCCTGCTTCCATCGCAAATAGGTATGTAACTACTACCTAGTTAGCACCCCTTACTCCTGACACTTTCTATTGAAAATGAATGAAGTGGCGGTAACAAGGTGGAGGGGGTTAAAAGACCATCTAGCTCCTGCCTCTGTAAGGATCTCTGAGCAACTAGGGATGCTTAGAAGATGGCTGAAAAGCTCATTGCCCAGAAATAGCTTGCTAGAGGATTTGACTCAGAGTAAGTGACCAACAAAATGTAGACAAATGAAGGCATGAAGCAGGTGTGCCACTTGAGTACAGATCTCCATAAATTTGGGCCAAGGTAATGATCTCTAGAGTCATAACAAAAAATAGTTGGCAGTTTTCACAAAAATACCAAGTCATCTGTAGCAAAACAAACAAGACAAAAGAGCATTTAATGGATGATGGATGTGAATTGAACCTGACAATTCACCTTTATTTCATCCTTCAGCATAGATTAGAAGGCTGCTTTTATTTGAAGTAAAGGTGCTCATGTTATAAACAGTAGCAGAGTTCAAGACAGAATCTCAAGAACATTTCAATTTCTCTATTTCTACAAAGTAAGGAAAAGTATTCAGAGGTTGCTTTCTCCATTATTTAATATATGGGCTGGTAAATTGAAGCCTGGAGAAGTGACGAGGTTTGTCCTTCTAGAGTCAACAATAGAGCGAGACGTGAACCCAACTCTCACAAAAGCTAAATCAGTTTTCAACGCATTCTGTTGCATTGTGCTGTAAAACTAGAGCACACCTAATCCGGTTTTGCTTGGTTTAATTCCTTGTTTGTAAATTGCAGAGGACAAGACCGGTTACCCCTGCCCAGATGTTTCTAAACAGACAATTCTTGCTGCCCTGCCTGTTGAATGCATGTCTTTTATGCTGGTATCAAATTATCACAGTTCAGGTCAGGACACTGAGCAGGTGGTTTTCAAGGAGAGCCAAGTCTGCTTAAGTCAGATATTCACAGAGTCTCAGAGCTGAAAGTCAGCTTAAAAATCTTTATCCTGCCTCTTATTTTACTAGATGAAGAAACAGAGGTTAAGACACCAGGCCCAGCTCAGCTCTTTGCAGACTGGCAGAGACACCAGGGATGTATCATTTAAAATGGTTTTGGGTGTCAATGTATGGTTTACATAATGCATTTTGAGCCCAATTAGAATATCAACTCCAGTTTGTCTATGATGATAAAATGAAAAGAAAATAAACCAGCCTCTATTAAATAAGGAATTGGATGATCAAATAAGAAGAAGATTTAAACAAGAAAGCCAATAGTCATCAAAATGATGACTAGTTCCTAGTCTAATAAAAACATTGTGTGTTCAAATAGAAACACTACTTTGAATTTGAACTAAGAAAAAAGATGTGTAAGGAGTAAGTGAGATGCTAAGAATGCCAGGATGACAGCCTGACTGCTGACTAGCGAACAACTCCTGTGGTTGTTTACCTATTTCTTCTTTATACCTGAGATGCTAACTCTGAGAAAAATAATTTTTCTACATTGTTACTTAAGACCCTTAAAGTTTGGTCTGAATACATTTCAAATATGTTATGCAAATTTCTTTTAACTTTCTTTACGTTAAAATAAATCTAAAGGCTTACATAATAATAAAGATTTATATAATTTTTATCCTAAAAGGCATTTTAGTATATAGTTAAGGAGACCCAATTCAAAACAACAAAAAGTGAATAAACAAACATAATACCCTAAAGGATCAGAGACCTAGCTCAATACAAAGTTACGGTTTGGAATCAGACAAGTGTGATGCATGATTCTCAAAGTGCACATAGTATTCCAAAACCGTGAGTTTCTGCACAGGACTGATGGTTGCTGTGAAATTACTATACTTTTCTTCAGCTGTTATCCACCAGCAGTGTCTCGTCCATTTTTCTGGCAGGGACGAAATGCCAGGAGCAGAACACTGTCATCACAACTGGCATCCAGCCATGGAGACTACAGCTCGCCTCAGGAAACTTCTGGCAACACTTTAATTTTCTCCAGGTACAGAGTTGCTGCAGGCGACCAAATTCTGGAGCCACCAGTATAACAAAAGAGTAAAATGGTCTATTATTGTGAGGGAATTCTCTGAGAAAAGAAGAGAAATCGATTTCTCTCTTTCTGGTGAGAATGACTCACACTTAGCAGCTGATTTCTTGAGGGCAAAACTGAGATGACCGTAACTCCCCCTCCCCCATAAAAAGTATTCTGGATTTTAGAAGATATCTTCATTCTGTTTGATTTATTTTACTACTTAAAAAAAAACAAGCCTCCATTAGCTTTCTGGGCCATAAATTCACTCTGTGTGTGTGTGTGTGTGTGTGTGTGTGTGTGTATGTATGTGTTGATTTTTATGGATCTCCGCAGCACCCTGGTACAGTTTTCCCCCTCTACACTGATACACATATCACTTGAGCAAATAAAACAAGATTCTATAACAATGAGTGGGGTAACTTCTTTCACTTAAAAATTCAAAAGTTATCACTTAGTATAACAATATTTAGGTCCATCCATGTTGCCACAAATTGCATTATTTCATTCCTTTTTATGGCTGAGTAGTATTCCATTGTATAAATACACCACAACTTTTTTATTCAATCATCTGTCAATAAACATTTAGGTCACTTCCATGTCTTGGCTATTGTAAATAGCGCTGCTTTGAACATTGGTATGCACGTATCTTTTCAAATTAGAGCTTTCTTCTGCAGTTTTGTATCGGCAGATACAAATTACTATGTACAGAACAGATAAGCAAAAAGGTCCTACTGTACAGCACAGAGAACTATATTTTAATGGCTTGTCATAACCTGCAATGAAAATAATTATGAAAAAAATATATAACTGAATTACTGTGCTGTATACCAGAGACCAATATAACATTGTAAACCAACTATACTTCAATTAAAAAAAAATTCAAAGGGTATCATTATGTGTTTGGGCCAACTGATATTGTGAAGTAGCAAGTTTCCCCCACCTTGTCCCCACCGACTTTTAAAATGGGGACATCCTCTGACTAGCCCTTGATTCTATATAGCACTCCATAATAGGCAGGCAGAGGAAGGAAAGGGTTCAGAATCAACGGAGTGGGAAGGGAGAACATTTTTCAGTTTTCTAGCTTACCGTTTACAGAGGAAGTACTGGATATCTCTGTTCAGAGCACCTGAGTTGTGCAGCTGTGGTCTCCACCATGCCTCTCAGAGCAGCGACCTCATCACTATTTTCCTTTCAAAATATAAGCTTGAAGTCAGTGTTTTTCAAAGCATTCTAATAGTCCTACTGCCCTAAAATCACCGAGGTACCTTTAAAATGCAGATTCCTAGACTGGACCCTAGACCTACTAAATCAGAGAATAGGGACTAAAATCAACATTTTAAATAACACCTGAAATGATCCTTTGTGAACAACAAAATCTGAGAACCCATTTTTAGCAGATTTATTTCATAGCTCTTAACTATTAAAAAATGTACCAAAATTTAGTACACATACTGAATTTAAAGTGCATTTTACTTTGAATAAAAATAGGATTACCTGTTCCAGAACTTGCTTTTGTTCTTTAAGGCTTGATTTACTTCCCTGGTCATGCCTCTTGATTACATGGGTGGCACTGTGGCCAAGTAGGACTGGGAGGCACCAGAGGGAGTAGTTTGGTGTAAAAGGGGAGTAGGAAATAAAACATGGACTTTTTTTTTAAGTCTGCAGATTTTATAGGAATACAAATGTGTGAGAACTTCAGTCTGTCAAAGTTACTGATGGTTATTGGACGCTGATATTTATAATCTGGACTAAGATGTTTTTAAAAATCCATTTTGATTTTTTTTTTGAGATCTAATTTTCACTTTTCCTATTTGGATGGCTATTTAAAGATGTACCCAAGCACAGTTCAAACAAATATATTTCAGTTCAGTGGTTTCTTGAATCATTCCTAAAATCCAAGGAAAGTGAGAATTTCTGAAAGAGGGTTTGCGGTTTTGTTTTTAGCAGAAGACAATCAGCACCATCTAGTGGATATAAATAACCTCTTTTCTCGAATTCAGTCCAGTGAGGAGGTGAAGAGGCTGTGGAACTGGGTTGGAATCCCAGTACCATTTAGTTCCTGAATGACCTCAGAAAAATTACTCACCCACTCTGTCCTCTGCTTCTTAATTATAAATCAAGATGATAACAGTGCCGCTTCATAGGATGTTATGAAGTGACGTGGAATGATGCACCTAAGGCAAGTTCCAAACACTCAGTAAGGTTATTCTTTAACAATTCTAAGCTACAGACTCACAGGAGGTGGGAACCATCCAGTGGCACACACTTTTAACTGCCCTTTAAAAGAAATGACTTTTAATCTAGTTTGTAGAGTCTATGATATGAGGCTTAATGAGGTTCCTCTCTAGTCTATTGTTATGTTTGGCTGGAGCTTATGGTGAGAAAAGGGAAATTGGGGCAACACGGCAGGAATGGTAGTTGGTGCCCAGATGGAGTACAGTGTGGGATCTCGCATTCATTCAAATCTGACTCCACTTAGAAGGAGAATGTCAAGTGCAGTGAGAGACTGAAAACAAAAACAAAAACCAACTTTGAAACCAACACTGCCATATGTCGCCAACCTGGAATGAGACCAGGGAAATTTTAGCTTAAAATAGCTTGACTCTGGATGAAATCTTTATGAATTATTTTGTAGGGCACAGTGCTGTTTAGAATATTTGGGGGAGCAGTTTGAACACAGCACTTCAGAAAACACAGCAGAGAAAAGTATGTGCTCTCTGACACAACTGAATGGGAATTGTTTTGAGGGTGTAATTGCAATAGCTGACACAGAAGTATCTCAGGAAATTAAAAAGAAAGACACAATTTATTGTGTACTAATACACAACAAATACAGTTTATTAAAGTTTGCCCTTAAGGCACATATAGCCTCTCAGCAGTTTGCAAAATGGAAGCAGGAGAAGGTAAATAAATGAAATGAGATTGATGAGGTTTTATGCAAAATGTAATCAATGGGGACTTAGTTTAGAAAGGTTACAAACAGTAAAAAGACAGTAAGTTTCTATTGAAATTGAATTTTCTTTTCCCTTGCTTTACATGCATCTTACGCTGTATAAGCAACAGTTTAAAAAAATGAAAACACCAGTTAATTATGAGCATTGGTCATAGCCCTGATTTCTCTTAGTTGTTTTTTTCCCCCTCATATGCCCAAGAGGTCTAAAATGTGTTGTTTTCTTAATGAGCGCCATTTGTTGAGAAAAATAAAAAAGGAAAGAATGGCCTTTATTCACAAATATCAGAATTGTGTGGGCATTTGGAGATTATCTAATCTTTAGCTACTCAAAGTATGGTCAGTGTACCAGAAGCACTAGCGTCCCCTCCCACTCGACACAGAATTAACATTTTTAACAAGATCCTCAGGTGATTGATCTGCACATTAAAGTTCGAGAAGCCCTAGAGTTTCAGGTTCATTTGATCTCAGATATAGTCCTAGAATCAGTATGTTTTGAAATCTCTCCAGGTGATTCTAATGTAGTAGAGTTTAAGAACTGCACAACTAGTCAAACCTCATTTTTCAAATGAAGAAATTATGGCCCATAAAAGTTTACAAATTTACCCAAGGCCACCCAGCTGTTTAGTATCAGAATCCAAACATTTACACTTCTTCTCCTTACTAAAAAAAATAAAATAAAATAAAGCAGAGTCAAGAGATCAGGGTAGGGAGTGAAGAGATGGGAAGGATTATTTAATATAGGGTGGTCAGGAGAGACCCACCTGAGGAAGCAGACACCTGAAGGAAGAGAGGAAACAGGCCACATGGAATGCTGGGGAACTGTGTTCCAGGCAGAGTGTGTGTTGGGGGGGATTACTCATATTGGAAGAAGAACAACAAGTAGTGTTTCCAAATTCCCAACAGACATTAGTCTTTGGAATGCAAAAACAAGAAATCAGAACTGCCAGGAGTTCTCCAAATCTTAAGTTATTCTGAAAATACTTCCAACCTTCTTCATATTCTTTGTTATCATGCTATCTGAAGCATTTATTTAAAAAAATAAGAATTATTAAATTTAGAAGTGTTTATAGGAATTGTAGCCTACAGCAAGTATTCAAATACTGGAGAACACAGAGAACATTACTGGGTACCATTTGAATAATGTAACATATAAATCTCCAACCAAGGCTAACAGCACTTCACAGAATTATGGGTTGAGAATTGCCAACTTAAGGACTTATTTTGAATAAAAACTCGTTTCTTGGGATATCACTCATAGAATTTGTGTCAAGTATACAATGGGTATCAACTTATTAATATTTAATTTACAAGAATGATTCATTATTAGCAGCAGACCAGGCCAGGAACACAAACTTGTTACATGGAACTGGCTCCAAATAAGACTGACCAATCAGACTGTGATCACCTGTCTCCCAGGTGCTATTGTCCAGTTCCTGGAATGTTGATCTCAACTTCTGACTCCAGAAATATGAGCATTTCTTGCTCTTACTTTTGACTTGACATCAGTGAATTTCTTCAGTTACATCTCTTTGTTGATTTCTAAAGTCTAACTCTCACAGGAGAAACAGAATTCTTTCTCCAATTTTCCTGATTTCTCAACTTATAATTATTTTTTAATTTGGAAAAACATAAATTTCCTGAGAAATGCTGGGAAGAAATTCCTGTGTAGAAACTCTAACAAGGACAGTGAGGCTGGAGCAAAGTTTACCAAGGAGCGGGTGGTAGGACTGGAAATCTAAGACAAAACAGAAGGCCTGGGCATTTAGTACCTGTTTTGTTTATTTTTATTTTTATTTTTTGGTGGGGGGAGGTAATTATGTCTCTTACTTATTTTTAGAGTAGTACTGGGGATTGAACCCAGGACCTTGTGCATGCTAAGCAACCACTCTACCACTTAAACTACACCCTCCCTTGAGGGTCTGGTCATTTGGGACTGGTGGGCACTGAAAGGATTCTGCATGCAATGGGAGCTTTGGAGAGTCCTAAGCAGAGGAGTGACATGGTTTGACAGGCTTTGAAAGTATCATTTAGGTTACCGTTTGAAAGTAGTAGGGGCAAGGAAGGCAACAGTTAGGAGGTAATCGCAAAAATCTAAGCAAGAGATGAAGGGAACATGGACCTTAATGGAAGCACTGAGGGTGGTGAGACATGGTTGGATTCTGGGTACATTTTGAACGAAGACCTGATAGGATTTATAACAAATTGTTGAGTGTGAGAGGAAGAGGAATTGAGGATGGCTTCAAGGTTTTTGGTCTGACACTGGCAGGATGCAGTTATCATTTACAGAGATGGAAAAAGTGGGGTGGGGGTTTGTTTTTTGACATCTTAACTTTGAGGCGCTTCTTACAGCAAAGTGGAGCTATCTAAGTGGAGATGTCAGGTAGTCACTTAGATAAAAGAGTGTGGAGTTCAGAGCTGCAGATAGAAATGCAGGATTTAGCAATATATAGATGACATTTACAGTCAGGTTTTTACAGCCAGCACTCCCTGAGACTGTGGCTGTGTCTGAACAACTCACTTAACCTTTGTCTATTTTATCTGCTGAAAAACTTTAAGACATATCTTACTGACCTAAAACCATAAGGCTAAAGGGTCCATGTATGTGAAAGTAATTTGTAAACTGTAAATTCCCGTTCAGACTGGAAGCAGCAGACATTGGGGGACAGTGGGTAATGATTCTAGGGATGAAGAAAATCAGTTCTGAGATTGAGGGAAATAGTTTTCATGCGGCGAGAACCAGAGAAACCACAAAAGAAAGCACAAATAGCAATTATTACCTTTTTTGGACCATAGTTCAATCTAGGCAAAACTATTTTTTATTTACGTGGCATTCAACACTTAACTAAGAACTTCACATAACATCTTTTCGAGCTGCACAGCAACGTTGTGAGGAAGCAATTATTACTGCCCCATTTTACGGAGGAGGAAACTGAGCTCAGTGGGGATTAGCGGACCTATTAACAGTAAGGGACAGAACCATTCAAGCATCTAGACAGACATCTTTGTTCCGAGTTCAACCTAAATACGGACAAACCATCCCACACCCCCACCGTCCGACGGGAAGACGGAGAAGACAGGAATGCTACTTCAGGTGCCGGGGCTCCGTCAGTATTTCCCACCGCCTCTGGCCCCCAAGTCTCGTTTCTGGACGGGTCAGCCCTTTTCCTCTCGCGAGACTGGCGTCGTGCTTCTGGTTACTAGAGGGACGGCGTTCCTGAGGTAGGCGGGCTCAGGACCGGCAGCTCCTTCCACTTTCAGAGAAGCTGTGGCGGTGGGAGAGACCCCTCCCCCTTGGGGGACAGTGGGTGACGCTGAGAGTGTCAGTGCTCTAATGACGGGACACTAGCTCCCAGTTTCCGCCCGGCAGGTGAGGGACGGCACAGATTAGGAACCGAGCGCCGTCGCCGCGCGACAAGCCAGTGAGAGGCGGGCGGAGTCGTGTCAGGCTGCTGGGCCCGGAGACTGGCTGTTAAGGAGAGGGTCAGTGAGATCGCGGGCCCAGGAGGGGGCGGGCTCGGTCGCCGGGGTCAGCAGGGGCTCGCCAGGCGGGGGAGGGAGCCCACCGGCTCACCTTCTAGAGGCTTCTACCTCCTCGAAGGCTCTGTGTTGCCAGGATATCCTCGATGAGGCAGCGAACGTCTGCCCTTAGGACCTAGTACCAAGGACTCCCGCGGTCCTTTAAGCCCCTAAGGTCTAGAATTTGTGTGAAAAATCACCAGCCATTTAAAATAGACCATAAATGGCAAAGGATGCAAGTAGGCATTTCACAGAAAAAAAATGAAAGGAGAGTAAGTAAACATTTGACTGGAGACTCAACTTCTCTCGTAATTAAAGAAAAATAAATCAAACTCACAGATAACTTTTGACCCTCATCAGATTGACAAAAAGGAAAGTTTTTGACATAACCAGATTGGCCGGGGTTGGGAAACAGGCACTTTCATCTCAGCATACCCTGTTGGAAATGACGTAATTTGGTACCACCTTTTTGGAGGACAGTTTGGCACACTACCAAAATTTGAAACGCAGGTGTTCTTTGACTCAGCAATTCTAACTTACGAGCATATAAACAAAACTAGGCGAAGATTAGTACAAAGAGGTTAACTTAAAATTGAGGTACTCTTTATATACAGGAAAATGTACCCTTTTAATATACAGTTTTGTGAGTTTTGACAAATGCATACAGTTATGTACCTACCTCCACAATCAAGATACAGAACAGTTTCATCATTCCCCTAAGTACCCTTTTGTAGTTAACCTTCCCTACCTCCAGCCCTGGTAATAGCAGCCATTAATTTTCTGCCTGTGTAGTTTTGTCTATAACAGAATGTGTATTGGAAGCCAATACTATGGAGCCTTTTGAATATGGCTTTCTTCAATTTAGCATTAGGCAGTTGAGATTTGTCCATGTTTTGTATTAGTTTGTTCCCTTGTATTGCTGAGTGGTGCTCCATTGTATGCATGTATCATAGTTGCTTATCCATTCTCTGGCTGAGGGACATTTGTGTTGTTCCCAGTTTTTGGCAATTATTAATGAAGCTGCTATAAACATTTATGTACAGTTTTTTGTGTGAATATAAATTCTCATTTCTTGGGTAGATATCCAGGACTGAGTTTGTGGAGTCGAATGGCAAGTGTATGTTTAACTTTAATAAGAAAGTGCCAAGCAGTTTTGCAGCATGGCTGTCCCATTTTGCATTCTTACCAGCATTATATGAAAGTTCCAGTTGCTCCCCGAAAGTGTTAGCACTTGGTATTATTCGTTTTTTTTTTTTAATTTTTTTTCACCATTTGAATGTGTAGCATTATCTCATTGTGGTTTTATTTCAGAGTTCTCTGATGACTAATGATGTTGAATATCTCATGTGCTAATCTGCAACGCATCTTTGGTGATGAGTCTGCTCAAACCTTTGCTATTGAGTCTTGATTCTTCTTTATATATTCTAGATATAAATCCTTTATCAGATATGTGTTTTGCAGATATTTTCTCCCAATATTTGACTTTTGTGTTCTTTTTCAATAATGTCTTTTGAAGACTGGAAGTTTTAAATTTTGATGCATTCCAATTTATCAGTATTTTCTTTATACTTTTTATGTTGTGTCTAAGACGTCATCATCTAACCCACAGTCATACCTGTATGTGGTGACAGAGAAAAATCTCTGAAATATAATCAGTGGAAAAAAACAAGTTGCAAAGCACCATGCCCTTTGTGTGTGTTTGTGTTGAGGAGGAGTAGATAGGTATAAAGGATAGAAAGTTTGCATATGCCTAAAAAAAAAACGAAACCTACAAAACTTTATTAACAGGAGTTCTTGGGTGAGGGTAATTCTAACTTAAAAAATTTTTACATTCTTATGTATTGTTTGATTTTTTTCCCTCTCATGGGCAAGTATTTTTTTTCCCCCATGGGCAAGTATATTTTACAAAGTAAACGTTTAAATTAAAAACTACCATGAAATAATTTTTAGACATTAAAATCGTGAAAATAAATGTAATTCAACTTTTCTTTTTAAGGCTGGTTATTCATTATTACTAAACAGAGGAGAATTTCTTTGATTCTTTCATTCATCCAAAAGCATCAAATTACAGCAGCCATGTTTCCCCATTTTAGTTTAGGTTTTTTTTTTTTTCCATTTTTTGGTAGGGGAGGGAGATAATTAGGTTTATTTATTTGTTTATATTTGGAGGAGATACTGGGGATTGAATCCTAATGCATGCTAAGCATCCATCTACCACTTGAGCTATACCCTCCCCCCCATTTTAGTTTTAAGTATTCACAGTGATTGCATTTCTCACAAGTCTGTATGAAAAAGTTTAAATTAATCTCACTTAAAATGAATGTTATGAAAAGTTGGTATGTCTTAGTAGTGATTTATTACAATTTAGAATCTGGTCATATATCCATCTATTTAATGGAATGTCAAATACTATTCTATTTTAGAAATATCTTTAAGAAGAACATACTCATCATGTATTGTTAAGTGAGAAATATATGAATCCAATTTTGCTAAAAAGACAAAAAGCAAAAATGGAAAACAAATGTGCCAGCAATATTTAGCTCTTGGTGGTGAATATTGGGTGATTTTTATTTATTGTCAAATATACTTTAATATATTCTAGACATTTTTCCACAATAAATAAATTCTTTAATCATAAATTTAAGATATATTCAATAGAAAACTAGAAAATACATATAAGCAAGATGAAAAAAGACACAAGAACATCCATGAACCTACCAATCGAGAGCTTACCACTGTTACTTCTTTGACTTATGATTATCTTTCAGGTCCCTCTGTGTATTTCTTTAATCAGAGAAACTGGACTTGTTTTTATAAACAAGATATTGACTTCTTTCCTCCCTTCATTCCTCCCTTCCTCCCTTCCTCCCTTCCTTTCTTCCTTTCTTTCTTCTTCCTTCCTTGGTTATGCCCTCAGGCAGTTTTCTACTAGAATGTTTCTTTTTCTTATTGATTGATAAGAGCACTTTAAATATGTAAATATATTAAATTTTTGTATATTATCTATATTGCATGTATTTCCCCTGTTTTCTCATGTACCTTTTAGTTTGACACTCAAGAGCATTAAATGTTATATAATCAAATCTATTAGTCTCTTCCTTTTTGATTTATGCTCTTGATGTCATGGCTAGTAAGTCATTAACCTCATTATTATGTAAATTATCTCTATGTTTCCTTCCAGGCCCTTGGAGATTTCATATTTTACATTTATTTATTATTTTTAAAATTTGTTTTTACTTTTATTAAAATAGTATAGTCAAAAATGTGAAACTGTACTATAACATCTACAGTGGAAAAAGTAGCAATCTCTAGTCACGTCTTCCAGAGGCAAACATCTTGAACTTACAAATATTATGCTTACTTAACTGTTGTTTACTTTTATCAATTTTTGAATATTCTTTTTGATTTCCTATTATGACAGATTAGATTTTTTATACTACCTGTCCTTTTACGTTCTGTTCCCCATATACACTCAGTATAATTCAGGCATAGTATTTGGTTAAATCAACGTTCAGTGCTTATGTAATTTTAAGTAATTACCATTTGATTGTTTGCTTTCTTGTACAATGTTTTATTTTTCTTGTGGAATTTCCATGTGGTCATTGAGATTTCTTTTCAAATGCTCAAATACATCTCTAAATTCCTAATTCAATGCCCTTTATCCAGAGTTTTTTCTATACAGCTGGTTCATAAGATTGTTAGTTACATCCCTACCCATCCTGGGAACTGTGTTTTATTTAATTTATTATTTTCAGGAGCAAACATCATAGAACAAACTTATTTCTAAAGCAACTGAAATGTTTCCAGAGCCTTTTAGCTGGTCCGTGTCATTGTGGTTCCCTGTGCCTCTCCCTTTACTTACATATATTATAACGGCTCTGCCCCTGCTTCCAACTCACTGCTCCTTGTGTAAGCTGCGGTAAGTCTCCTTGACAGGCTGCTCAGGGCATTACAAGACTTTTGGCCTTTCAGTGACTTACGCTTTTTGATTGTAACATGATGGGCCAGGGTGATCTGTCATTCTACAATAATAATGTCGGTGCCCTCCTGAGTGAGCCCAAACCCTATTGCAGAGTTTGAATAATGTTGAGATCAATGCCTTTTTCATTTGCTGAAATGCAGAGTTGACCTACTGGTCCTTTAAGCTTCAACTTCAGTGCAGTGGATAGTTGGAGGCTGAATTGTATTATCCCTCTGTGTGCCTTGGAGAAGCATCAGGTTGTTCCTGTTTGGGCTTCCTCCTGTGTTCAAAACCTCCTTGGACTCTGCCTCTGCCATTCAAAAAAAAAGAAAGATGAGTCATTTTATAGGATAAGAAAAGGACATTGTTGCACTTGCTGCCCCAGAGGCAGTTGCCTTTCTTCATTCTGTTATGAGAGAAGTGGTTTAATTCATAATTGACAGGAATTTAGGAAAGGATTTGCTGGGTGGGAGATATCCATTCACACGTAAAGCTAAGTATTGAGAAGGCAGACTCTGAAATTCTGTTTCTTCCATTTTACTCAGCATGCATGATACCCTAACTTTACTGACCATATCTGGAATGCTCCCCATCAAGGGCACTGTTTGGGAGGATCGATCAATCTGCAGTGCCCAAGTTTTCCCACAAGTTCAAACCAGCCTAATGTTTCCTGCATCAGAAAGCAGTCCTGGTGTGAGGCCTGTGGATGGTCTCATGGGAGAAACAGTTAAAATAGACTAGCAATGTGTGTCCCCATAATGGAAGTCTGTCCTCTTGTAGAGTAGGTTTTGTTCTCTGTTGTTTCATGGCAGAGACGGAATCATAGGTTTTAGTAGGGGAGGGTTGATAGAAGAAGGACAGTCACCCAGAGATAGGTACTCCATAAAAACTCGGTACCAAAGAGTAAAGGAGAAATCAGAGCTGAGAGGGACGCCCACGCTGAAGGCTGAGCTAGAATAAGGAAGACAAAACCAAAAGAAAGTAGAGGACTTAGCAAATTATTACAATGAAGCATGAATTGTGTCTGAGGGGTGTGGTGCTCTGTAAGGGTCTTCTCAGGTCAAGGACACAGTAAATGTTTCTCTTCGAGGCACAGGAAACCATTGAGATGGCATTCACTTATACATTCTTTTTTAAGCCGCTTTCAGAATCTAACCTCCTGGACACCTACAGTGACATAAGATGTAACGATCCATGGCCACGACATCTTTTGATGAAATTAGGGTGCTGTGGCTTTGGTAGCAGCATGTAACCCTTATAACAAAGGCTCTGAGTTAACTGCATATTAACACTAATGAGACACTTAAATGTACAAGTCATAACTTGCTTAAAATTTTGTTTATTTCAGAATATCAATGGATATAATAAAAGGAAACTTAGACGGAATTTCAAAACCAGCCTCAAATTCAAGAGTACGTCCTGGGAGCAGAGGTTCAAATGCTTCTTTGGAGGTGCTCTCACCAGAACCAGGATCCTTCAAGGTACTTTGTTGTTTAGAAATGATTTAAACTACTTCTGATCTCTAGCAGTTGGTAAACCTGTGGCTATAGTTAACATCTCATTCTAAGGTTCCTTTTTAAAAAGGTGTGTCTGGAAGTTCAGATTTCTCAGATTTTACTTTAGATCATTTAACATGAAAATACTGTTTCCTTCTTTACCTTTTTTTTTTTTGGAGTATGGCTTGTTTGTTTACGGTTGTACTTTGTTGATGCTCATTTGTTAACTTTTTTTCTTTTGTAAGAAAGCTTTGTATTCCAACATCTACTATCACCATTGACTCTTACTATGAAAAAGATTCAGTAACTTTAAAAATACAGTTTGGGTGAAGACTATATAGTGTTTAGTAGATATATTACCTGGCCATGACTCCCTTTCTTTTCTTTAGTATTTTCTTTTTCTTTTCTTAAAGTAGCTAAACTTGATGTTTTTTGAAGAATCCATTTTTTTTTTCTCTGAGATATGGGACCATTTATTTGTTTTAAGGTAATGGAAAACAAACATTTTGAAACTTATGGTGAAAAAAAATCTTTGCAAGTTTATGAATCTTTACTCACTTATTTGATTTATGGACTAGACTCTGCATCATGAAGCTCTTGGAGTTTTTCTCCATCATGATTTAGTGCTGGAGACAGAAAGTATTCTAGGCATTTTCAGCAGAAAGGGATGGAATGCAAGAAATTCAGTTCCTCAAACTCAGTGGAAAGCCAGGATTTTTGGTTTCCAGGTCACACCACCATGGCTGAAATCCAGAGATCAGAAAGCTGCTGTTGTTGCTGCTTCTGACACTGCTGCCCATCCTCAGAACCACAGAACTGGGGACTAGACATGCAGAGATGACTGCCTTTGGTATTTCTTGCCAATTTCCTATCAGGAGTTTAGGAAGATGACTTCTACCTCACTTCTGTGGTATAAATCTTGTGCAGATGAATCTAATTGGATGAAACTGATACACATCCAGAACCCTACCTACAAGCAACTTTGTAAAATACAGCTTCTGGCTTAGCTCTCTGTTTTGTTGCATCTAATCTTGCATCATTACTATATTGTGTGTTTACTCTTGTAGCATTGTAATAAGGCTTGATATCTGGTAGGATCGTTTTCTTTTCCGGGATTATCTTAGCTATTCTTGGCTTTTATTTCTTTTTATATTTTAGAACAGCTTTTTAAGTCACATGAAAAATACTGTCGGGGTTTTGATTGAAATTGCTTTGAATTTATAGATTAATTTGGAGAAGATTTCTGACTTTATGGTATTAAATCTTCCCATTTATTAACATTGAATCTCATTGACATTTTTGTTTCTAATTAAAACATTTTACATATGACAAAATTCACTCTTTTTTTGGTGTAAGTTCTAAGTTTGGCAAATATTAGAGTGATACTATCACAATCAAGACAGAACAGTTTCATCATCATCTCTCAAAAATTCCCTAGTGCTACCCCAATCTAAACAGTCACTGAACAGTCTCTCCTACTCTTAATCCCTGGAAACTCCTGATTTGTCCTCTGTGCCTGTAGTTTTTCCTTTTCCAGAAGGTCATATGAATGAAATTAAAAAATATGTAGCTTTTGAGTTGGGCTTTTGTCTATTGGCACAGTTCATTAGAGACTCATCTCCATGTTGTTGCATGTATCAATAGTTCATGAATTTTTATTACTGAGTAGTATTCCCTTGTGTGGGTATACCACAGTTTGCTTATTTATCCCTCAGTTGAAGAATGTTTGGATTGTTTGTAGGTTTTAGTGATTATGAATAAAGCTGCTATAAATATTTTCATGTTGAATTTTTGGAGGGAAAATAGGTTTTTATTTTTCTAGGGTAAATACCTAATAGTAGGATTGCTGGGTTGTATGGTAAGCGTATGTTTAGCTTAAGAAATGGTCAAACTTTTTTGTTTCCACCAGAAATTTATGAGAGTTGCAACTGCTTTGCATCCTCACTAGCAGCTGGTATTGTCAGGTTTTTTAAAATGCCATTCTAATAGGTTTATAGTAGTATCTCATTGTAGTTTTAACTAAAATTTCCCTGATGACTAATAGTGTTAAGTATATTTTTATGTGGTTATTTGATATCCACATCTTTTCTGGAAACTGTATGTTCAGAATTTTTGCTGAACTTTAAAAATTGTGTTTGTTTACTTACTATTGACTTTTGAGAGTTCTTTATATATTCTAGAATCTTTTGTCAGGTATATGATTTGTAAACATTTCCTCCCAGCCTGTAGCTTGACTTTTCATTCTTTTAACTGTCTTTTGAAGAGCAATTTAAAATTTTGTTAAGTGCAATTCATCAATTTTTTTTCTTTTAAGAATTGTGTTTTCTGGTTGTATCTAAGAACCTTTTGACTAACCCAAGTTCCCAAAGATTTTTTTCTATGTTTTCCTTTGAAAGTTTTATAGTTTTATATTTTACATTTAGATACTTGTGGCCTCTTATTGCCAGTGAGAAGGCTTTTGTAAGCCCAATATTTATTCCAGTGTGGGCTGTGTAGTTTAGATATTTTTTCTCTGGTTGCTTTAATTTTTTTCTCTTTGTCTTTAGTGTCTACTGTTGCTCACCTAAGTATGGATTTATTTAATTTATTTAATTGCTCCTTCTGGAGACTAGTACTTCTTCAGTCTAAGGATTTGTGTGTTTCTTTTTTTTTTTTAAACTTCTCAGCCATTGTGTTTTCACAGGTTTCAAATATTGCCTGCTTTTTTTTTTTTTTCTATTTTGTCATCCTGGAAGTGCAATTAAATGTCTGTCCAGACTTTCCCTTCTATCCTTCATGTCTCTAAAAAATTTTTCTTAAATTCATTTATTTCTCTGTTCTTCATGCTGGGGAATTTTCAATATATATTTTCTAATTTTTGAATTCTTTCGTATACTATGGCAAACCTACTCGTTAATCCATCCACTGAATTTTTAACCTTAAGGATATATTTAAAATTTCTTGATTTCTTTTTGGTTTATTTTCCAATCTGTCTGTTCTTTACAGTATCTTGATCTTGTGTTTTTTGGATTCTTTTTTTTTATACCCTTTAAAATATTTATATGATTATCTTTATCAACTTTTTAATGTCTTAAGTTCCTTTGTTTATTATGATCTGGCTTATTGTTGGTCATTTATTCATGGCTTTTGAACTTCTGGAATATAAATTTAAATTTTGGGAATTTTATGGAGCCTGATTTAAAACTATGCCTTCCAGAACAAGTTTCTGTTTGCTTCTACCAGATTCCTCAGAGATATCACTGACGTGATTTTTTTTTTTTTTTTTGCTCAGTTTCATCTTTAAGCATTCCATAGCCCAGGGATAATATAAATTGGAATCCAAACCCACATGAAGCATGACCCTGTGGTTGCACATTCTCAGGGAAGACTATTTCCCACTTGGAACCCAGACACATTTTGTACTTTCATCCTGTAATTTTGGATAGGTGTGCTTTTCAAGTCTACCATCTCACCGAGGATGTGCCTTTTTGAGGGATCCAGCTATATGAAGCAGGAGAGGGAAGGTTCCTTTCCCTGTTGTCTTGCATGGGTCCGAGGCCTAGTCTCCTATCTCAGCTTGGGTGGCAAAGCCCAAGCCCGTAGCTTTCTGAGGCCTGCACAATCTCATTTGCCTTCCTTGTCACTCCCACCCCCACCCACACTGGGCAGCTACTTTAAGGACTGAAAAGATTCCTGTTCCAGCTTTCAGTCTCCTTTTGGTTTATGTTCACTGGTAGTCTCCCTAATGATCTTGTGAATTTAATTATGGATTTCTAAGTAGATGGGAAGTTTCAGTTTATTCAGTTTTCCTTATAGCACAAACTGGAATCTCAAAATAATTTTAGATTCTTTGGTCCCAAGTATAGTGATGATAAGCCTAATCTCAGGAGTCATGGGTTCTGATTAGTCTCCGCTGACAACGTTTTATGTGATTTTGGGCAAATTCGACTCTCTGCTAGTTTCCTCATCTATTCAAAGGAGTAATAATACTATCCACCTTATAGGCATGTTTTGAGGATGAAATGAGATAAAATATCTAAAGATTTTATAAGTGACTAGCACCTAGTAAGTATTTAATACATCTTAGCTATTTGGTCCGTCCTTCCTACGTTATTATTCACACCATTCAGCATAAAGTCTGGCATATAGTAGGTATTCACAAAATATATGTTCAACACATTCGAAAGGGCAGTTTTACGATTTCATGTAGGTAGGATAATATACAAAGACCTGACGAATTTTAGATTAGCATAGAATTAGTATTTCTATTTACATATTCCTGGGTGATGACTTTTTAATGCAACAACTTCACAATATTGACACATGTATTTTAATACATAGATTACTATTGCTGTCTTGAAAACATCAGCAATCATTTCAAGTCAGATTTTATTTGAAGCTACCAAGCTGTAATTCAAACTCTAGCATATTTATTAACCAACAGGGACTTTGATACTTATATCAAAAGCAAGCCTTCCTAAAGTTCTGATTTATGTTAATCAAGTTCATAGAAAATCAATAAGGTTTGTCTTAGGTTGGGGAAGAAAGCCACAGACATCTTGCAGGTTGACTGCTACTTACAAATGATTCATTGTCTATAAAACCTTATGCATTGTCTAAATAATAAATCGTGGAATTTTGATTAGTTTATTGCTCATTTGTCTTTTATTAATTTCTTACCAAAAATTTATGTATGGCAGAAAGTAATTTTAAAATACTAGAGTTTTAATGAAATTTCTGTAGTAATGATATATTTCTTATGCTAAGAATTTTGGTTTGTTGTTGCTTCTGAATATTTTTCTTGAAAGAGCCAATAGTTGTAATTTGTGTAAAAGTCTCATGGCTTTCAGGTAGGGATCTAATTGTGAGGAAGGGTTTTTATAGGGTATTTACTTTTCCTGGGATTGACATGGAGATGAAGTGGAGGATGTGGAGCAAGGGAAAAGGGAGATTGAATGTGGCTTTGAGAATGAAGAAGAAAGAAAGATCATAGACTTTGGCCACAGGGTAGAAGATCAGGAGGGTTAGGAATAGGTAGGCCAGTCGACAATGGGATGGAGAAGATGGTTGGTGCTGGTGGGGTTGGGAATTGTGGGTAAGACTGTGAAATGGGCAATGCTGGCCTTTTCTTCTCTAGTTTCATCTTTTTGCCTCATTGCTTCATAGAATAAGAACATGCTAAGAGTTAGGGTCATATAAGATGATATATGTGAAAGATCTTTGTGTATCCTGAAGTGTGCTACCTAAGAATATTGCTAACATCTAGTTATGTTTCCCCTCTATAAAAACTCATTCTCAGCAAAAGGTAGGCTACGTTCATTTATGCCAGGATGTGAATTACTGACAGTGCTTGTGTGAACTCTCCCAGCAATTTCAGCATTTTCACAGACCTTTGTAGCCTCAAGGCTATTATGGAATTTTAGGCTCTATCTGGCCTTTGACAGAAGTTTGTTTTTGAACAGGGAGCCCTCATTACCACCTCCAAGATCACATAAAGTAGGCATTGTTTTGCTTGTTCGTAAATTGGGCCTCCATTAGTTTCATTCCCTACTCAATCTGTTTTCTTCTCTGTTAAATAAGGGTAGTAATGCCTATACCATAGGATCATTGTGAGGAGTGAATGGGGCAGTGTGTATAAAGTACTCAGCACAGGACCTGGCCAACAGTAATTCCTCAGTAAATGTTGGCTATGATTTTTATACCGCTGACTCAGCTTAGTTCTGCTGGGGTTAATGTCCTAGCTGAGGTGAATAGAGATGCTCATGCAGTCCTGTATCCCTGGAAGTTTAATTCTCAGTACCATTTACAGTCTGTCCTGGAGATTCACAAGGGGGCACAGACTAGAGGGGTTGAGTGTTAACCACAGTGGTGCAGAGTGAGCATAAAAGCCACCAAGGGCTGAACCCTGAAGGGCTGGAGCAGACAGTCCCTAGGTTGGAGGGAAAGGCACACCTCTCAGAAGTGGCTGACCCACTCTCCCTGAGGTTCTCCCTCTCCTGTGGGCTGTTTTCCCTTCTGCTGTGATCCTCAGTGCCACGCGCAGCCATCAGGGCCCTAGGATCCCGGTTTTTTCCTGGTGCAGCTGTGGATGTCTGTTCTTGTCTTCTCTTAGGAAAACACAGCTGCACCAACTGGTGGCTTCAAAATGAACTTTGCTAAAAATGGAAAGAGAAATCGAAATAAAATAGAAAAACTGTGACAAGCATAAAAATTATTCACCAGATAACATGGTTCTGATTTGAAGAACTCCATGAGAAGCAAATCTCAGTTCAGACTTTTCTCTTGGCAGCTGTTCAGTAGCTGCACGGGGCTAGTGGCTATCGTTTTGGACAACCCCACTCTAGCCCTTGACTCTTCATCCTTGTGTCAGCTCAGGGAGCAGGGACTATTCACACCTTATCCTCAGGGCCATTCTCTTTGGGACTGATTCCTGACCCTTCTCTGTTATTGCTAGAAATTGCTGGGGAGTGGTGCATATTACATTGTTGGCAAATGTTAAATTTAGTGTGTGTTTAAATTACATTTAGGTAAGTGTTACATTTCTAGAATAATTTAATGTTGCTGTATGTATGTATGTCCTCACATATACTCACATTAGTGTTAAATAGTCTAGAAGTTTTTAACAAATACATTATTTTTAAAAACTCTTTCTTTGGAATTAATTTTTAGGTTGGTACTGCAGTCAATTTGAACTCTGGTAAAGAGAGCCACTCAGAAAGCAATAATACAGAGGAAAGTAGAAACAGTAATGATGATAAAGGCGAAGACTACTCTGAGAAAATACAGTTGGCTGAAGAGGGGTCAGATGAAGATCTGAACTTGGTTCAACATCAGATAATCCCTGAATGTTCAGGTAGGATAATCACTTGGTGATTGGCTGATGATAATTATAGATACCCTAATTAACATATTAGAACTACATATGTTTTTTATCAACTAAGTAGAAATAATAATTAAAAAGAGACATGCTTTTTGTGAGCAAGCAAATTATTGCTTTTTTATAAGACTATTGAGTTCTTAAATACACTTAGTATTTTAAAATAATAATAATATAATATAGAAAAATAATAAAATAGGTCATTTAGTAAAATGTTATTGTAGTCATTTTAGATTAATCCAGTAGGAAGTATTTCTGCACTTTATGACATGATTTTTTTTGATCTTTTTGATGATTAAAATTACATAATAAAATATATCCTGTAATTTATAAATACCTTTTTAAGGGATAATCTCATTTGATCTTACTAACTTTTATTTTTTAGAAATTAAAAAACTTTTTATTTTTAACTTTTTAAAATGAAAGTACTGGGGATTGAACCCAGGAACTCATGCATGCTAAGCATGCACTCTACCACTGAGATATACCCCACCAATCTTAATAATTTTTGGATTTTAAGAGACTTCCTTTTTTCATGGTTATTAAATTAATACCAGTCCGAGTGAATCAGAGCAGCAGTTCTCAAAACATGGACTGCAGAGCCCTCGGTGAGGCGGGGAGTCTCTGAGAGCCTTTCAGGAGCTCTGCAAAGTAAAAACTACTTTCATTGTGACACTGATAGATCAGTAATGTAGTTCATTATAATAATGAAATAATGCTATTTGCCTTTTTGCCCATTGAATGGACAGTTTCACTGATGGTACAAAAGCACTGGTGGGTCAAATTGCTGGTGGTTTAGTGTGAATCAAGGCAATGACATGAAATTGTTCTAGTAGTCATTGTCTCCTTCATGACCAGGCACGGGCAGAGAAAAGAAATAGCTAGTGTCACTTAAGAGTGTCCTTGATGGAGCAGTAAAAATTTTAATTTCTATTTCATCTTGACCTTTGAGTATACATCTTTTTACTATCCTGTGTGTTAAAATGGGGACTACATATAAAACAGTTCTATTGGATACCAGAATGTGAAGATTGTGTTGAGGAAAAGTATTCATGTGATAGTTTAAGCTGAGAGCTCAATTGGCCACTTTTCAATGGGACATCATATTAACTTGAAAGAATGACTGGTAGACAAACTGTTATTGTTCAGACTTAGGTATTTGGCAGACATTTTTAAAAAAATGAAATGGGCCTATTACTTAAAGGAAAACAACTGACAGTATTTTTTGTTGGTGGTAAAATTTGATCTTTCAAGTGAAAAATTAGAATCTTGGAAAACTTGTGTATGTCACCATGAGCTTCCCAGTACTTCGACTTTTCCAATGAAAATTGGTGGCAATATTAACAAATGTGTTTTTTTGATATTGTATATTGAAATGTGTTAATATGTTGAAGGTCTGCATGATTCTGCAAACCACTATTTTCCAAATGGCCAATGCAGGGTAAAAGATCCATTGAACATGAACAATAGATCCATGGATTTTAATGGAGCAAAAACAAAAAGCTCACTGATAGGGTTACAGATTTCATATTACAACTAACCTTTAAGAAACTAGCCCTTGTCCAATTTTGACGTACTATCAAAGAAGAATAACTGCAATTATCTGAAAAGGCTATTAAATTTCTCCTCCCCTTTCCAACTACATGTCTGTGTGAGGCCAAATTTTCTTAAATACTTTTAACTGAAACAACAGATTACAATGGATTGACTGTAGAAGCAGATGTGAGAATCTGTCTTCTATTAATCCAGATATTAAAAATTTAAAGCTTTGCCATTCTTCCCAAAGATTATTTTGGAAAATATAGTTGTTTGTCATAAAATGTTACATT